TTATTATTATTATTGAGACAAGGACCCTCTTCGACCTGGCAGTTGAGGTCAACCAACATATAGGGTCAAGAGTCAAAAGCCAAAGGTCAACTCTCAACTCATGGCATGGCGTCAACTTTCGCTTTCGCGCGGGTTTTGTGAGGTTGCCTTGCCTGACTTGCCTCACTGTCATGAAGTGTTAAGTTGAATATTATTTTCTTATTCTGATCAAGCTCACAAAGAATATATTGTAATTATGAGCAACCCAACGTCACCGAAGCGTCTGAAGACAGAGACGGAAAACCGCAACACCAACGATGTTGAGAAAACAGGAGTTGGAGTGAAAGCCGACATTGTTGACAACATTGACAACACTCTGAGTGCTTCTGCTGCTGCTGACGGTGGAGGCGAGACTGAGAGCAGTGGTTCCTTTCGTTTTAGTGATTCCACCAGCCTCGAGGACTTGTACGTATTATTTTAAAACTGAGCTAGATCTATGAAGGGAAGGGTAAATTTTTACTTTCACTCCCGCACGAAAATGCGTGGGGGGGGGGGATAAAAAGTCTTTTTGACCCGTATGCCGTATATAAAACACACACATGTATAGGAGGCGCTTCTACTTTTATTAGTCTAGATCTAGATTCTAGATCTATATATCTAGATCTAAATTCTAGATCTAATTAAAATTTCGAAGTGGCTAGCCGTATTTTTTGTTAAATGGTCAGTCTAGCCATCATATTAAGAATAAGTACGGCTAGACTGCCAGTCTAGCCCGTCATTAAGTACGGCTAGCCTCTTCCTTAAAATTGTATTAATTATAATGATGGCATCTAGATCATATCTAGATCTAGATTCTAGTTCTAATAATATGAGCCATCGCAAATCACTTGTTTTTAAGAAAATCTCAAATCAACTAATTTCCTAATTTTGAGGAAATACGTACAGGAGTACTGGGGACGACGCCTCTCTGAAACCGTCCAGTCCTCCAGATCCATTTGTAACCAAGAATCTAGTGTGTTTTAGCAAGGTTTTACGGAGCTCGCTACTGCAAAAGGAAAAAGTAAAAGGTCAAATATGCGCCAAGCCCAAGGGGTGGATGTCAGCAGAGAAGTCCAAACGGGGAATCAGGCTTACTCTGCTCACCTCTTTAGCCTCTTCAGCACAAAGTCTGCTAGCTTCGACTACCAAGGCATCCCAATAGCAGTTCACAAGAGAGTGACAAACATACAAAAGGAGAAGAGGAAAAATGACGATAGTAAGGATGAGGAAAAAAAAATCAGCAGTTCCCCCTATGTTAATTAATGTTCCGGCACAGTTTAAAAGCCATTGATCAATCAGCCCATTTACAATTCTTATGTGCATTAGAACATGTTAATAGCCCCCTTTTGGGAATGGCCTAGAAAGACAACTTTTGTCATGCAGTAGCACTGCCCTGGTGTGGGGGCCAGATTCATTTAGGTTAGGTCTAGGGTCATATATATATGCTCCCTCCCCCGAAATCCTCCACTTTTTTAAAAACACGCTGAGAATGTTTTTACACAATTGGGCCCATTGTATCATTGATTGAATCAAAGAGTTTACATAACAAGACTAGGGGCCACTTCTCTCTTTGAGCCAATTAAAAAAGTGTCCTCAAAATTCGGTGGCGCCCTCTTCACAAATGCGCACCCTTTGCGAACAGAGAGTTACCCTACTAGTGTTTAATAAAATCAAAGTGAAACTAGCAAGTTTTTGAATAAATTTCGGAAGAACGCTTTTTTAAACTGGTTACGCTGGCAAAAAAACTCTTCCGGAGGAAAGGGTGATTGTTTTCTTTGTTTACTTTGACTTTAGAATGAAAGGCGAGAGGTCATTAAAACTCCTAAAAAAAACTCCTAAAACTCCGCACTGAACGAACCCGAACTGCTGATGAACTGCAGTCGATCTGCGCACCCAAGGAGGTGCTATTCCTATTCTTCTTCTGGAAAAACGAAAGAGAGCTTCTAAACAGACTGCAGCGCCATCTGAAGAAAAGAGCAAACTTCCTGCGGACACTTTTTTGGCTGAGTGGCCCATCTTGTTATGTACTAGATCTATCTTTGATTGAATAAAGACATCTCAAATATGCTAATCATTTGTGACGAATAATGTAAAATATTGTAAAGTCAAAATTTGCGGAAAATGAATCAAAATGAACTAGAATTTAGAATTTAGAAGTATGCTATTGCGTCCATATAATAGACAGGAATGAAAGTAAAATATTACTCAATTAAGTGCAGTTGAACCACCGTTATGGCCACGGTACCAAGACAATCTCTTGTACAAATGGCCATTTCCCATTTTCAATTTTCCTTCTTGCGTTAAAAATAATATAGGCCTAATGACATATAAGATGTTCCTACCTAAGACAACTAATATGTCTCCTTGACGATGGGTGGCTGTCTTAGACAATTTCAACTGTAGGTGTAGATCTGGTGAGAAATTCTGAACAGTCCATCCATTAATTTTCAATGGCCATTCTGTTTCAGGCGAAAGCTGTCTATGGAATTCATCAAAGAACGCAACTGGGACCAATTCCACAGCCCAAGAAATGTCCTTCTGGCTCTGGTGGGAGAAGTTGGAGAACTAGCGGAAATCTTGTAAGTGAAGAAGTGGTTTTCTCACTAACCTATGTCTCGCTATTCTCACTCCCTTCGTCTTGTTTTACCGGAAATGATCTAAGAGGGATCAGGGCTTATGTTACTGGGTCTAATGCTCCACATCCACAGGATCGTGTTGGTGTCCGAATAGACATCTAGATCTAGTCACAGTCAAGGTTGTCAAATTGGAGCCAAATCCCAGAAATTTGGCTGTTTTGGATCGTGTCTGGCAGCCTGGAGAATTTCATTTGGCTCTCTGGCTCTTTTTTGGCTCCAAACTCCAAATGTTCAAGAAGAAGGGGACAGAAGAGGCAAGAGAAAAAGCAAAAGAAAGAATGAAGGGGAAAAAAATGAAAGTGAAGAAAAGAGCTTGGATTGCTTAAAAATTATTAACTAGTTAACACGATTTAATTCCCTTACCCATTTGGTCTGAATAATTTATAACCCTTCAACCGCCGTGCAAGAGCATAGTCTCGTGCTCGTGTCTCGTTGCGTTCGTTTGCGACACGCTCTCTGTTCCTTGAACCATAATGTATTGTGTGCAGAGAGGCAAGCCATCGTTAAGTGTGTAAACAACGAATGGTCCGGCCGGCGGCGGTCCCACATCCCGCTCAGTATCGGTAGTGAGCCTTTTTTTTACCAGAGAGGCGAAAAATGTTTTTACATTATTATTATTCGTTCTCAACCCACTTACGGCCTTGGTGATTTATCGGCCTGCGAGAGGTCATGGGGGGAGTCCTCACTTCATGCCCTCACCGGGGTGGGAGCATTTCTCACCAGGGGGGGGGGGTGAGGATAGCGAGACATGGATTATCCTCACCCTGGGTGAGAATAAAGGTGGCCTGTGAGTTATTATGAAATAATATTTAGAAATGAGGATACATAGAACTGCCCAAAGCTTATTCTGTCTGGGCTAGGTTTTTTTTAGTGAGCACTTGCATACAAATCTGAACAAATACAGTCCGTGCCGGCTTTAAGCACGCCGGCATAAAGCAGGTTTTGGACTCAAGTACGCTAAACAGCTCTTACTGAGTTTTTGCTTTATAAATTACACGCCTTTAAGCACGGTAACTTTGGCTTCGGGCACGCTTCATTTACAAGACAGTCAATACTTTCCTGATGACCCATCGAAGTTCGAACACAGTCTACACCGCTGCAGTGAGTGTGTTAAGTGAAACACAAAGAACGCAATTGATGGACATACACACGCGCAAAGAGGAAGGCAGAGAGATGCACACAGCCGCCCGCACGGACATAGGATCCAGCCGTGGGCAAAGCTACACACAGACGAAAAAATACAAACGGCAAAGGGAGGCTGAGTGCGATTTCACCTTTGCCTCTCGCTATCCGATAATCCTGATTATGTATCACGCGCGAAGTGGAATGAATGTAGCACAGCGGGCAATGGTACGCACAGGCAGTGTGTAAGCCTAGGCCCAGTGTGCTGTACCATGACTGGCCGTCTAAACTAATTTTTCCTTTCCCATTCGACCAAAGATACTCAACTACTTTGATTCGACCACAAAACAAAACAATCAAACAAAAACTACCTTGGCGGGTAAAAATGACAGCGCCCACTTTTGCGCAGCCACTACTTACGAAAAAAGGGTAATAACTAAGGAAATTTTCAACTTAAAAATCTTTGGATTATGTACGATGTCTACTTCGCACTCAAGCACACTTCGGCATTAAGCACGCTTATGCTTTCTCCCGATGACCGTGCTTAAAGCCGTCATGGAGTGTAAATACGAGGGCTATCCCACGGAAAACCGAAATTTGGCTGTAATTTGAAAACTTCAATTATATTTTCCCATTCTGTAAATGCACACTTGTAAAACAGTCATTTAGGACTTTCCCGATTGAGCACCATGAACATCGCACAAACTAAACGAACACGGCAGTTCTCCAAAGATGGCTACCTACTTGGAAAATTGGTCAAGTGTAGAAGTGAGGTCTATCATTCGGTTTCTGACAGCAAAAGGTCTCAAACCCAAAGAAATACACACTGAAATAAAGTCAGTTTACGGGGAGAAAGTATTTGGCAAAATCACAAGTATGAGTGTTATAGTTATAGTAAGTTCAAAGCCGGGCATACACGGATGTCAATGATAAAGTTCACCCAGGACCTTTTTTTCTGCCAAGACTAAGGACAACAAGAGTCGCGTTAACGAACTCATTCAAACAGACAGGCGCCTAAAAATTCGCGAAATTTCAGAGTGGCTAAACATTTCAAAGTCGACTGTCCACAGAATAGTGTTTGATTAGCTGCACTATCGAAAGGTCTCTGCTCGATAGGTCCCGAAAGAGCTGACAGCTGACCACAAGACGCAACGTGTTGAAGTGTCTCAGATTTTGTTAAATCATTGTCGCCAAGCTGTCATGGGAGTCATGTACGCATCTGGAGACATCCAACAATATGAGTAAGCATTTCTGAGTTGCATTATTACAGGTGATGAGACTTGCATACACCACAAGACCCCTGAGACGAAGAGGGATTCAATGGTTTGGAAGCACATGTCTTCACCTCCCCCGAAAAAGTTTTAAGTTCAGTCATCGGTTAAGAAACTCATGGCCACGATTTTCTGGGATGCTAAGAGTGTTCTGTTTCTTGACATTCTGGAACCAGAACAAACTGTTAATGCTAACAGATACTGCCAGACTCCTGATAAGGTGACAGAGGTTGTGAGCTGAAAAAGACCAGGCCGGTTGTCCAGCTGGGTCCTTTTGCAGCATGACAATGTAACGCCACACACCGCAAATGCTACGAAAGACTGGAGCCAAATGTTCGGCTGGAAAGTTCTGCCACACCTCGCTCACAGTCCTGACTTGGCCCTGTCAGATTATCACCCTTTGGACCAATGAAACGCCATATTTCTGGACACAGATTCACCGACGACGAAGACCTCGTGGAAGCCGTGAAAGATTGATGAACAATTTTTCAGGGAGGGGGTTTTCTCCCTGATCCAGCGATGAGAAAAATGTGTCCAGCGGGATGGTGATTACATTGAGAAATAAAGCACAGGTTGAGGTATAATGTGTTACATTTTTATTATAATAGGACAAAGTTTGTTGCTTTTATGGACCTTTTCCGGTTTTCCGTGGGACAGCCCTCGTATATACCAATCAATTTAGTTGTTTTTTTAATTTGTGTGTTATGTGATAAATAGCCTTCCTACCAACATCTCTGAGCCCAAAATATAGATGTGTACTTGAGTAGTCTTCTTTTGTGTCATGGAGATTTACGTAATATTATATTAAAGCATGAGCACATGAAAGAGTCCTTTGCTTTCTTTGTGAAGACAGCAGCTGCAAACTAAAAATCGAATGTTTTGACTTTAAAAAGCAGCAATGAAATTGAACAATTCATCAATGGCGTAATACTTTACTTATTTTATCTGGGTTCTTCTAGCTCTTCAGCCTGTCGATATGGCAAAGGATTTACAGGTTTTTATCAGCTGTGTTTGGTAGCTGTTTAAAGTATTTCCAATATCTTGGGAGGCAGGTATGTAGGTACTACGTACGCAGGTTGGTAAGTGCGGGGAAGGTAAAGAGGTGGTGTGATACTGTTTCTTCCTGGCTGTCACACAATGAGCAGTCAGGTGGGGTATCCTTGCAGATCCTATTTAGGAAGGAATTCAGTGGGATAACTACTTTATGCTGCTGCCTAGTGACACATCATGCTGCAGCACACAACAGTAGATGGGGTTTTGAGTTTAGAGACTGCATTAAAATTTGTTATTTATTGTTATGATCAGCTGACCTAGCTGTTATTGATTAAATAAATTTTGCCAAATAAGCAATTATTATGAAAATTATCATCTTACTTGCATCAAAGCTCCAAGTACTTGAAACAATTTTTTAAAAATAGAACGTTTAATGATTGAAACTGAATTTTGAACCCAAATCTGTTTTTCACATTCTAGATAATGTTTACTGGAAATACTTTCTTTGCAGATTCCAGCTGACTTTGTCGAAAAGCTGTTTGGCCAGCCTCTTTAATCGATGGCATCATTTGATGACTGTTGTGATTGCCATGAGATTATCAATTCGAACTAAGTTTACTAAGCCTGTCAGTGTGATAAAAAACAATTAAAATTAAAGCGTAACTTTTTTTGGGGACAGAATTTATTCCTTTCCTAACCTGTGCCTGGTTACGACTCACCAATCCACCTGATATAGGTCATGAATGGAATGAATTCTATTTATGTATCCAATAAAATGATGGTTTAATTTTTTTTCTGTCTACTTCTAAGTGTGCACGACAACAAGACGTATTTCTGTAAAATAATACAAAACTGCTGCATATTGTTTTTCCTTTGAGATCTCTGTTTGGAAATAAAAAGTAATAATGTTTTTCATAGGATGATTGATTGTTTTTCAACCTTCACTGTTTTTGTAATATGTCCTTTTTTTCTATTCCAGTCAGTGGAAAGGAGAAGTCAGTGAGGGACTCCCAGGTAAAGATAGGCTTTGACTGTGGTGTTTTTTATTTTTGTTTTAACGTTTTTCCTGGGCATGTCATTTTCATCCTTTACTGTCTCAAATGGAAGTGCTGGAGGCTATAGCGAGCAGATTTTCAGGTCCTGAAATTTTTTTACTTTTGCAGAGTCTACTTAAACGGATTTTCTTACGTTAAGCTTTGTTTTCAGTTCAGAGAGATGCTCAAATAACAAAGAAACAATGTGGGGGTTCTATTTTCATTCTGTTTACTGATGTTTTTGGATAAACTGTGTTCGGTTTAAGGGAACCTGACTGTATATTCTTTTATTCAAAACGTTGTATGTAGGCCTACATAAAAATGAAATTCCTACATAACGTAGAGATTTCTGAATTTCTGTTTCCCACCAATTTCACTATGTGCTTGCTAGATTGTAGTTGAGATTTTTGTGTGTATGTACTGATTATGAGAAATTGGCATTGTTACTTTTGGTGAATTTTCATTTGCAAACTCTTTCCAGAGCTGACTGATGGCATCGGTAGCCTTGTAGTTAGGGACTAGACCCTTGATTGTGAGATTGCGGGTTTGGGGTTTGAGCCTGAGCTCAGTCTGACATGTCCTTGAGAAAGGCACTTTACTTGAATTTCAATTTTGGCTCAGTCTTTTTGGAGAAGGATGTGTAATTCTGAGGTCCTGCCTCTCCTTCTTTCCTATCGAATTATCAAACATCTATTGGTCCTGATCTCTTCTACTTTTTTGTGTATGTCACTCTCTTGTTACACTTCTAATCTTCAGCTCTTGTACTTGTATGATCTTATTGTGTTGCAAGTGCCATAAAATTCTCGCTAAAATATATTCAAACAACAACTAAAACCATCTCCAGAGCTGACTGGTGGTATCGGTAGCTTTACGATTAGACTACCGGACCCGTAGTTGTGAGATTTCAGGTTCAGAGGTTCGAGCCTCAGCTCGGTCTGATGTTGTTTCCTGGCCTTGGGGAAAGGCATTTTACACAAACTTCCTGTTTGGCTTGGTCCTTTGGGAGATGGATATTAAACTCGGAGGTCCCGCCTCTTAAATAATCTATTTGTGATTTGTGTGAAGGACCAACATCACTGCACAAGGGGCATTCCCATAAGCGCTCCGTCCCCAGAAGAAGAACATCTCGAAGTGTGCAGATGCTGACGGTTCCAAGCAATGGTTGATTCCATAGCCTTCTGCTCCTCCCACTAAGTCTACTTAAATAATCTAATATAATGTTGATAGAGGTGGTAAACCTATAGCCTACCCGGGGGGTGGTTGGTGGGTGCTCTTGTGTGGTTTGCTTCATTTTTTCTATCAAACATTTATTGGTCCTTATCGCTCTTCCTTCTTTTTTGTGTTTATTACTCTTTCGTAACACTAACACTTCTAATTTTTGGCACTTAAATTAAGTTATATGACCTTATTGTGTTGCAAGTGCTGTAAAATTTTTACTGAAACTAAACTAAAAAAGCCTTTACTGTTTTGCATAATTTCACATTTCCAGAGCTGACTGAAGGAGAGCGAGAACATGTTGGCCAGGAATTAAGTGATGTACTTCTCTACCTCCTTGACCTCTCACAACGATGTCACATTGATTTGCCTAAAGCGGTCCTCAAAAAGATGGCTGCAAATGCAAAAAAATATCCCAAAGACAGGGCATATGGCCGTGCGAATAAATACACTGACTATCAGTGAGCTTGTGCTAATCTCCTGTTTATATACACTTTTTTTTCAACAAATTTTTATGATTTATGTGTTGATTTTAAAAACTTGTTATTAAACAAAAAGTTGAAAAAGCTGTTTCGTTCTTCCGATTTTTTTTCGTCCTGTCTCTACCAGGGCGAAGGTCATTTATTTTATATTTTTTGTGCATGTTACCATTGTGAACTTTGCTTAAGAATTATGTCATGTTTACATTCAATATAAATATGATAGAAGTCTTTTGTGCTTGACAATAGTGTGAATAAAGATTACTTGTATAAGTTAATGACTCAGGGGTGTTAGAAATAGAATCTAGAAGAAAAAGCAGCAAGTATTTTTTTCCGTTGCAGTGACTACAGGAAGATCAAGAAAAATGACAGAGACTATGATTGTTGTTTATTTTTAACTTGTATTGACTCCGAAGCCGGGGTCATTCGAACCATAGCTCAGCACAACACCAGCCGAGCTAACAGTGTTTTCAAAAAAGAGAGGAAGGTTGCAGAGGGTGAAAAAGTGGATACATAGACATACGGTTTTCTGCTCTTACAGCCGAAAGAATTCTTCATTCTTCCAATGGCCTGTTTGCATGGATGTGGGATATAATCAGCTTGGAATAGAACCCCTACTGCTATCTGTGGTGTAGTGGTTGAGCGTTTCTGTTGCACGTAGGAGACCTGAGCCCCATTGCTGAGTGGGGAGAATTTTTATCGAGTTTCTCAATCTTTCTGTTGGGATGATGTATCCCTCTCAGCCCGGGTTGGCCCTGACAGGCACAGTCAGAAGCCTGCCTTCTAAATGATCTAAGTCGTGTTGATGGCGTAAAACACTAACATTAAAAGAACGCGTGGTTTCAAAAGAAAAGGAAACGACTTCATGAAAATGTAAGAAGCACACTCAAACTCAAAGTGATGGGGGTCAGAGATTTTGTGTGTGCTTAAAACAACTTTATGATCCTGATTTATGTGGTCAGGTGATCAACCTACACCGGCAAGGAGTATGAAGTTATTGAACTTCGTCCCCATTACTTAACTGGCTGAGTTGTTTGATCATTTTGTGCAACGTACTGCAGTCGGGCACGGGTAAGTTGAACAGGATACTGTGCGAGAGGTACCTCCAACACCAGCAAAACCTATACCATATCTTCGTTGATTTTAAAAAGGCCTTCGACAGGGTCTGGCATGCAGCCATATGGGCGACCATGAGGAAATATAACATCAACTTCAACCTGATCAACGTCAAACAACTACTACTACTATATGACAAGGCCTCCAGCGCAGTCTACCTTAACGACAGCAAGGGGGACAGGTTCAAGACAACAGTCGGGGTGAGGCAAGGCTGTTTGCTCTCTCCCACTCTCTTCAATATCTTTGTAGAACGTATCATGACTGACACACTGGAAGACAACAATGGAACAATCAGTATTTGAGGCACGACAATCACAAACTTGCGTTTTGCCGATGACATCGATGGATTAGCAGGAGTAGAACTGGAGCTCGCCACTCAAGTGGAGTGGCTGGACACAACCTCAGCGGCCTACAGCATGGAGATAAGTGCCGAGAAAACCAAACTAATGACCAATAATACTAATATCAATGGCATCAACGTGTACATCAAAGTCAGGGGCGAGAAACTTGAAACCATCAACTGCTTCAAATACCTTGGATCAGTCGTCTCAGATGAAGGCTCAAGACCAGAAATTCTCACCAGAATCGCGCAAACAACAGCTGCGCTGTCAAAACTGAAGTCAATTTGGAAGGACAGAAACATCACGCCCAACTCGAAAATCAGACTCATGCGCTCAATGGTCATCTCAATATTTTTGTACGCCTTCGAGTCGTCGACACTGACAGCAGAATTGGAGAAAAAGGGTTCAGACAACAGAGATGAGATGTTACCGCAAACTCCTTGACATTGCATACAAAGACCACATTTCAAATCCAACGCAGTGGGGCAGCATGAAGATCTATTGATCACAGTGAAGAGACGAAAATTAACCTTTTCGTAGCTCGGCGCTCCAAGTTGGCCCGCTGTTTTTATACAATGTATTAACTCAGAGCGTAGCGCTGCTCTTTGGCGAGCACTATATCACAACGTTTCACGAAGCCGCGCACCACCCTGGATTCACGTTCTTGTGCAGGCAACAAAAAGTTTGCCTTTTCGTTTTTCACTTTCACTTTCAAAATTTCCAAAAGTATTCAGATACCATTTTGAAATTGTTTCTTGCTGTCAGAAGTTGAGTTGCTTGAACACTTTCCAATTTACTGGCGAATTTCTGCGGTCACTTTCCAGAGCGTTCCCGAGACGTTTTACCTACGATACCCTGAAAAGTGAAAGTTGTGGCGCTCTGACTGACGCTGAGAAGACTCTCTCAAGGGAGTCACAGATTCTATATACACAAAAAGGTCCGATGATGAAGATGATTTTGAAAGGATGAAGTTACTATGCCGGTGGACTATAATGCATAACCGTTTAATTTTGCCTAAGAAGCAACCAGTAGTGAAACGAGTATGTGAGATTAGAATGCATAGACACTGATGATGAGATGATGGACGATATGACTGACCGGTTGTTGAAATTACGATATGGCGACAGATATGCTGTGGAGCTGTAAAGGAGAGCATAGAAAGACAAAAAAATGAACAGGAATAAGTGGAGGGGTTAGAAGATAAAAAACTGTGGGCTCGAAACACAAACAACTTCCCCCGCGTTTCTCAGTTTACAGTTATGGTTTTCACAAGTTTAAAAAAAACAACTTTCTCTTGAAGATTCGGGATAAATTAAATGCTTCATCTTTCATGTCATGATAAAGTTCTCCATAGT